TTGACTTCTCTGGAGCGAAATTGCTCAAAATATTACAGCTTTCCCTCTCCCCCTTCCCTTACAAGGTACTAGCTCACCTCCCATACAACGTAAATCTCTTTGGACGAAACAGCAGTGACGTTGATCAGTTTTGGTGCCTGTGATGGAGCTGTGGAAGAGTTGCTTATCAGTCGACGAAACGTTTACTTGTTTTATTCGCTTACCTTACTATACGTATGTGCGATGTAAAAAGAAAAGAAAGTTCTTAAAGGCTGCAAGAGAATAGTTACTGAAAACCAACAGGGAACATAAATTTTACTGAAATTCAGCAAAACTTACCACCGACCTTTTGTTTGTTTAGAGAAAAAGGGTCTGGGGAAGAGGTTGATAGGCATGCTATACTTACAGATGCATTTAAAATAGTGTATCTTCAACAAAAATCACTCAACCGAAAAAAATAGCAAATTAGAATTAACAAAATAAGACTAACCCGCTTCAAGTGTCTTGCGAGTTGTATAATGGCTCGCCTCACTTTTTCCTAGCTTATTTTCGGCGTATACCCGAAGTTCATACTCAGAAGCAGGCAGCAGTCCGTCAACTTGAAGACCAGTGGAATGTTTTGCGACTCTCCTTTCACCCTCTTGCCAGTCTCTCGTGCTCAGTTTAAACTCCACAATGTACCGAATGATCGGTGCGTTCCCATCAAAGCTTGGGCTCCAAGTCAGGTATATGGATGTTGCTTCCGTTTCCTTGACGACTGGTGTTGAGGGAGTAGATGGTTTCTCTGTTGAGAAAAACATCATACAAAGATGATTCATCGCAAAGAAACAAATAAATTATTAACTCAGTAAGAAAAGATAATGAAACATTTTACGGACATGAAACAAAGAAATCTCTGTCTGTATGTCTGTATGGATGTGAGCCCCAACGAGTTCCGATTTCATAGTTGACTCGTACACCAACTAAGCGAAGTCATTGAGAGTTAGGCCATCTCTAAGTTCATGTGTGAAAGGCGTCCTGCATATTGCTGGGTACGGCACAAAGCGACGTCCTACGCCAGAGTTCAAAATTTACCATCTTCTTTACTTTATTTCGTTAATTAACCACGCAGGCAATTTCCGAGACTCCCCGAGCCGTTGTAACAAAATGAGGGTTGGTACAAAGTCTTCGAGATTGAATATAATTTAAAAAAAAAAAAGTCTTTTTATAGGATTACACAATTACTGGTGAACCAGTAGTTTCCATTGTGGTCCTTGCAAACAAATGGTCTAAGTTGAACATAACATCATTAAGAACCCCAACCGGTCGGAGGCAAACCAGTTGGCTATTTACAAGCGTGGCCAAGGATCTGAACTCGGGGCTACCGTGAAACAGATCCAGTGGTCAGGGTGGGACTCGAACCCGGGAGCGGCGGATTACAAGTCCGACACTCTAACCACTCGGCCACACTGCCTCCTTAGAGTGAAAATAAAACTCTTTTTTGTAATAGAGGTTTAGTACTTCACCTCGTCATGGTGGAAAACATCATCTTTCCAAGCGAAAAGTTTAACTAACTTCAGAAAAAAGTTTGGACAATTTCTTACGTTGAGCAGTGATTTGAAACGTCTTAGTGTCACTTCCAAATCTGTTTGTGACCCTGCATGAGTACTGTTTGGTGTCCTGTAGCACCAGCTTCTGGACATGAAGCGTACTGTTAACTCTGTAATACTCTTTTGCCTCGGAGATTTTTATTGTAACTCTGGAGTTATTAGTCATTTGCCTGCTTCCATTAAACCAAGTTAATTGAATCGGCAAGTTCCCCACTGTCACACAAGTTATCGTGACGTCATCGAAGACCTTAGCCACCGTGTCTGCGGGCGCAGTTCCAATAGTGGCTGGCACTGCTGGACAAGATAAACAAACACAACTAGGCAATAGGTCCGCAATGTGTACTTAGGAAAAGGAACGGAACGCGGTATGGTGCGGAAACAGTGAAAGCTGTAATATTTTGAGCAATTTCGCTCCAGAGAAGACAAAGCGTTTGACTTCTACTACAAAAAGTCAAAAACTATATAGTCTTAAATGGTATTTTTAATGACAAATTCTATTCTCACTATCAAGGTTTCCATACCATGAACTATAAGTCGCACTTGACTACTCGGCCTTCCATCAAAAACTGCATTGTACGCCGCACAGGAATACTTTCCGTCGTCTTCTTCCCTCACGTCCCTTATAACCAAAGTTCCATTCAACGTTTTCCGAAAACGAGGGTTGTCCATCTGGACGGGGACGAATTTGCCGCTAACTGACTCATATTTGTACCAATCAATACGCGGAGGAGGTGTCCCGGATGTCACGCATGTCAAGTAGGTCGTGAATGTTTTGAGGATTTGCTGAGTAATTGGATTTTGTTGAGGGATGGATGGTGGCACTAAAGGAAATGGAGAAATATGAGAAAAAGATTAAAAACAGAGCAAGTACAATCTACAAATGACAAATTAATTTGAAGTGCCAAAGAGGAAGCTTGCAAAATCTGAACCACCTCTTATTTCACATAAGCAAAATCAAGTCATCCGCTAAATTTAAGTCCATAGTCGACCCATTCATCAGGCCTTAACCAACCTGGAGAGAGTTCAGAATACTAACTGACTCGTCAGTATCAGTCATTTTTCAATGTAGGCTCAGCCATCAAGCATTGCTTTTAGAAGATGGGACAAACTGAACTCTATTCCTGGCGTTCCTCATAAAACATAGCCTTCAGTACAGACGTCTAAATTAAGACGAGTTTAGTACTTTTTAGTGAAAGTTTTGGCTGCCAACTTGAATTTTAACTCAGAGAAAATTTTAACAGGCGCGAGACAAAACATTTAGTGGGAGAACACGGTGGCCAAGGAAACGACCGCTTACTCGCCTCTCTACAACTTCTCCGTCAATTTTTGTATGTGTTTTTCAGCTGGTAGAATATATCTAAGTACGCGAATGCAAACGTACCATATACAACCATTTGTTTAGACGCGCTAGATGTCCCAGCTATGTTACTAGCCACGCACGTATACTCGCCCGAGTCCGCCGCAGTCAGACGTTTTAATACCAACATGCTCATGCGCTCGTTTATCAGATGAATTGCAACAGCATCGTCCACGGCAACAATGTCCTTTCCGTCTTTCTGCCAGCGAAAATTTAATGACCCGTCATGCGTGTTCGATGAACAAGCTAGAGTACCACTTTTTCCTTCCAACCACTTGTCTTGGGACACTACTTTTGGATTCGGAAGTTCTAGGAAAGATAAGAGAAAATCTGCGATTAGTGTCTAGATAGCTGCAGTTACATGTACACCTCGATTCATACAACTGCTTCCCTTCCCATTGTGAAACAACATTTGGTTGAGTTTAACCATGGTTATTTCCCTGTCCACAATTTGGTCAAATTAAAATTACCAAATTTGAATTTGAACCAATAATCAATAGATTAACGAGGAGGCGGCGTGACCGAGTGGTTAGGGTGCTAGAGTTGTAATCCGGCGTCCTCGGTTCGAGTCCTCCACCCTGCCACTCACTGGATTTGTTCTGTTGCCCCGAGTTTAATTCCTCGGCTGCGCTCTGTAAATAGCTTACTGGTCTAGTCTGCCTCCTGCCAGTAGGGATTTTCAATTGTAGAGCGCTTATTATTATTACATAAATCTACTTTCATTTCTCCGTAAACTGAATGTTTGGCACAATTAGTTTCGAAAAAGTATACATTTCCGGTTCCCTCCATCAAATAAGAACCCACACCTGACGTTACAGCCCCTCCCTTACCATGCTCGATTTATTTGATACAACTTAAAATTCAACTAAACAAAATCCTCTTTAAACCACAACTTACGGCAAATTCATCACTCACCATAAACAGTGACATCCACAAAACCCTCGTCTCTGATATTATTTCTATTGACCGCTGTGCACTTGTACCGACCTGCGTCTCCTTTTTGAACCTTAGAGATGTGAAATGTATTGTCATCTGATACGGACTGCAAATGGTCAAATGGAATGCGAATGCCGTCTTTAGACCACGTGACTGTAGGGACTGGGTAACCTTTCGCTATACACGGCAGCTGAAGGGATTGGCCGACAGTTGCGTTTACAACGGGTGGTAATGAAGTGATGTTTGTTGTACCTTAGAAAAAAGTCAGTCTTTCAAACCACATGAACAAATATTCAAAGAACATTCTCGGTCATTGCTTTGAAAACAATATGAACTCTGTAAATAACGCTATCCAAATCAGTTCAGTTTTAAGTTCCCCATGAAAACTGAACGAAAACTTTCAACAAACGTTTTGACGAGTTAGCGCTGATACGCGGATAACTTTACACAATAAATAAACCGCTTCCCGGTTAGCTCAATGGATAGATCGCTGGACTGTTGTGCGAGAGATCGAGGGTTCGAGCCCCGGCCGGACCAACACTCGGGGTCTTAAAATAATTGAGAAGAATTTGCTACCCTTCTATAACATCAAGAAATGGTTAGATATTCTAGTCTTCTCGGATAGGGACGAATAAATGGAGGTCCCGTCTCCTGCAGGGTTGGGATAGGAGACGTTAATTTCCCACACACGAGATTACTGTGTGATGGATGTCCTCCCCTGGGGTGGGATGGGTGGGATATTGGGCGCACTTAATTTGGAGGCTCGCTCTATTGTGCGACCCTCACCTCACTCTGGTGATAGTGATTAAATAAATAAAGAAGGTAAAGTGCCGAGTTAAAAGGCAATCAATATTTAAGTTTCTCCTTGTCATTTCTGAATATTTTCCTTCACACTTAATGAGAACCTGTCAAATTACACCTGCGAACTTGCTGAATTCGAAAGTAGACTATTCAGTATGTTAGTAGGCCAGATCCCGGCACTTACCGTCAATAAAGACCCCGATAACTTGTGCTGTACAGTTGCCGATATTGCAAGCCTCACATTTGTATTCACCAGTCCTTCTCACGTCCATTCTGTCCGCCCTCAGAGTGCTCTTTGTGCCCTCATCTCCATTATTTCCCCCAGTCTCTAGTTCTCGCGTCATAGAATATTCGTCTCCTTCGTGTAACTTCACATTATCTAGGTACCACGTGACTTCTGGCCTGGATTGACTGAAGGCCTTGCACCATATACTGAGGCTTTCTCCACGATTTAGAACTACTCGGTCAGCGCTCGTTCTGATTGATGGATTGCGTTCTGATCAAGAGTAAGTGAAATGTCAATAAGTTAAACAGTACGATAACATACAGCAACGGTGAAAAATCGTGAATCTCCTATGGAGTTCTACCTTAAACGGGAGCACGAATAATATATAGTACTTTACTTATGTGTGGTATATTTGCATTAATTTTTTTTGTCAGATCAATTGAGTAATTTATTACATTATTAAACCTTACAGCCTATACCTAACGTCCAAACTGAAGGTAATTAATTAGATCACACGTTCGGAAAAAGCCCAGTTCGTTCGTTCTCCTTTTCGTTTCTTCGTTTGTCGTTTTTTCGGGTCGTTCGTTGGTTCATTCGTTCGTTGAATGATTTTCCGAGTTCCACCTTAGCTGTCTACAGGAAACCTTTGTGAAACGGAATGTACTGATTTAGAAAAGAACCAATTAACACTAGATCATCTCACTAACCCCCAGTAATGAGCACAGCATTGCTCTGTGCTAATTCTAGACCATTGTCCGCGATACACTGGTACACACCAACATCTTTGCTGTATATCACAGCGAACACGAGTTTTTTTGGCTCAACTGTTATCCGTTCATCGCCGGGAAATACTTTGCCATTCTGTAGCCAAGTGATGTTAGGTTTTGGTTGTCCAGTGACATCACACTCCATTTTGGTTCCCGTATTTGAAGATAACACTGGCGCCACCTTTCTTTGAGGGCGAACAAGGTATTCGAGGGGAACTGAAAAATGAAGCAAAATGCAAGTCTCCTGGTAAAACTCTGATTTCCTTGTAAGGTTTTCTTTTTACAAAGGAAAAAGCAATATTAAAAACTAGAAAATGAGCTAATTTGCACTGAATAAACAGTCTTCACCGTTGCAAAATTTCTACTAAAGTGGTGCTTTAAAAGACCTGTATCTCTTATTTTATACTCACCCAGCACAGTAAGATACATATACAACGTATCCGTGCCTTTGGAATTTTTTACAGTGCACTCGTACAATCCTTGGTCTTGAAACTGCGTGGACTCAATTTTCAGGCTTCCACCCGCAAATCTAGAAAAGCGGTGTCCCATCTGAATAACGACCCCGTCCTTCCTCCAGCTGTAGTCCTCTATTGTAGGTATAGGAAATCCTTCGGCAACGCACTGTAACTTACTTGTATCTCCCTCTGGTACCGTAATGTTGAAGGGTTCGGTTAGTATTCTGGGAGGGGTTTCTTGTTGATCTGGGAAGGGGAAAGAGCAAAATATAACTACATCGGCTAATATTTCAGAACCCAGATTATTTTAGAATAATCTGGGTTCTGAAAACCCAGATTATTCCAGTTCTGAAAAATAATCTGGGTTCTGAACAATTTTAGAACCCAGATTACGTTCAGTGAACGTAATCTGGGTTCTAAATTACTTTGTTTTGTTATTAGTCAGCAAGATTCGTAACAACTTTTCAACCAATCAGATTCAACCACTCAGATTTTTCTGCCCTTTAGGAAGGCTGCTCGTTTTTTGCTTCTGATTGGCTGTTGGAGGTACTTCGTTTTGGTTTCGGGACACTGCAAAGTTCTCTAACAATTCTATCTATGGTGAGTAAAGTGTTCTTCAAACAGTTCAATGATTAAAATGTGCCAAGATAAATAAAGATTAACATTTTGACAGGTGAAAGGCCAAAAAGTTCCAGTTTCAATAAGGTGACTACAATACATCCGGTCTAAGCCATCTTATGCTTACCTTTTAAAAATGTTTTAGCTGGGTTACTATAATACTTTTCTCCTGTCAGAACGTTCACTGCTGTATAGTAATAAGTCGTGTCCTTTGCTTCCTTTTCGTCCACGTTGGTAATGACCAAATCCCCGGATGGCATCAAAGAATATTTGCCTCCCAGCGTGATGACGTCAAGTTTAATATGCCATGATAGAACACGTACATAATCACGTACGTGCTCTGGAATCACGCTTTTTATAACGGCTGTATTTCCACGAATAACGAAGTTGTCTTGTGCATACACCTTGAATGGTTGCGTTATAACTACGGGGGAAAATTTGAGTGAATACATTGAATATTGGGAACCATAACTCCAGTGGTATTTGCACAAACCTAACTCAATAAAGCTAGAGCCTTTACAGGCTACAAGAGCGTTGCTATGCAGCCCAAGTATAGTGGTTACCCGGCTGGTTGTTAGTTCCTGCTTGGTCCACGATAACTCTTTGTTGGCATAGAATGACAAGAACGATACACTAATCCCCATCTCCTCCGTGCCTTAAGTACAAATATGACTTCAGCTAAAGCTATGGTGTTCAGTAGCCTTGTTGCTATATAATGAGTTTAGCGCCTGACCTATCGTCAGTTTTTGTTTGGTCCAAGAATAGCCCCACCTTTCCCTCTCATCCACTTACCTGCCCGTAGCTTAGCTGCGCGGCTGATTAACGTTCCAACACTGTTTGTTGCATTACACTGATAGTCAGTGTTGTGTACTGATGTTGTAAATTTGTCTTCGGTAAAGGCGGGAAAGTACAAGGATCCATTCGGCAAGATGTGTCGTACTCCACTGATGTTCTTGTTGATTGGGTAACCTGTGCGAGCGATTTGCCAGGTGATCGTAGCCTTCGGCCTGTCTTCCACTTTACAATTCAGTATTGCTGAACGAGTGTGTGCAAATTCTGTATCCGCTGGCTCTTCCAAGAAACGCAACGCCCAAGGAATGTCGTCTAAATTTTAGAAATGTAATTATTAAAGTATCAATTTTAGCCATGCCTGTAACAAGCGGAACTCCGATTGCTTATGCCACACATCAAGATATACAGCTTTGAGCATACATGTTCGCCCAACCATTTTTCACGGATTAATATTTTTCTGGGTATGGGACTCCGCTAGCCTTTGTCGCAAGCTGAAGCTCCGCTATCAGATTAAAATTGCGGTGAATGACTAGTTAAAGATGTTGGAGACGGTGGTTTTCATCGTGAAATGTATGTTCTTTAAGGGAAACGAACTGAAATTCAGTAATGTTCGAAATAAAAAAATACGATGGTTTTCGACATAAATCTTTTAAATACAAGCTTTCAGGTTGAAAAAATGTGAATGAGAGTCAAATTTCAGTTGTCAACTTGTCATATTTGTTTAGCTGAGTGGTCAAATCCCTTTTAAACAAGATTTGTCCTTAATTATTAAACAATTTTCCTGTCTGTGTTTAACTTCACGCCGAGAAAGTTTCTACCCAAAGTTTTCCCTAAACTTATTCTCATAATCGCCTTTGGTAAAGAAACTCTCCACGGCATTTTACCACTCTGCACCTGAAAGGGATGTAGTAAGGTAGATACTCTCCACCCCCTCCAGTTCACACCGGGGACAGCCCAGCTAGCAGGTGGGTAGATAGAAAAAAGTAGGGCATCCTTTCCAAAATGTGAAAAAAAAAAAAAGTCTTTTTATAGGATTACACAATTACTGGTGAACCAGTAGTTTCCATTGTGGTCCTTGCAAGCAAATGAAACAAATGGTCTAAATTGAACATAACATCACGCAATCCATAGAAAACGCCAGGGAATCGAAATTATTATGAAATCGTTAGGACGTGCAGCCAATAGGGTTCCTTTTTCCTTATTTTTCATGCGCTTTTCAGCGCTTTGAAATGTGAGTGGCTGCCTGTGTCAGTTCTTTGTACGTGGTGAATTTCACAATCTTCAACTGACTTGTTACATAACAAAGCATAATATTATAGTTCCTTCAAATTATTTAGTAAAGGAAGCACATGTCTTTTCTTTTCTGTGTATTATTTCGAAAACGCTTTCTCTACGTTATAAAGCGTTCTGAGGTAATATTAATTCAAGAACAGAACAGTGCTAGCTAAGACAAATGAGGTTTGCAAATTGTTAGCTCTTCGTTC